TGTAATTTTTGAATGTTGATATGTATTCGCTCATAGCCTGCTGTGCCTTTCACGCAGACAATAAAAGTGAATTCTGAAATGACAAATAGGTTTATGTTTCAAGTGTATTTGCATTAAAAACATGTTTTTAAACCCTTCTGTTCAAAGTTGATATTTTGTTTCTTAAAAAATGTAATCTTTAAAAACATGCTGTTTGCCATTTTTAAAGTTTGATTGAAGAAATTAAAATAAAGGTCACTGACATGGAGCTTTAGGCCTGCAATGCTTTAACAAAAAAATGTGGTGTTGTTTCAGTGAATATGAGTGAATATGGATGTTAAATTCACAAATTAGTATGAATAATCTTAAACAAGAACAGGATAGTGCGCTGGTGTTGGGTTCAGGGGGTCACAGGTTCAAACCCCACTGCAGTCAGCATGTCGTTGTGTCCCTGATACACTTCGCCCCAAAATTGCTCCTGTGGGGATTGTCCACAGTATTGAGTATGTGAGTCGCTTTGGATGAAAGCGTCTAACAAGTGACATGTGATATAATGTAATGTCCATGATGTTTTTAAAGTGCAGAAACATTCAGAATGCATGACGATTCCTTCAAAGGTTTTGTAATAGATAGTACTCTTAATTTATAAAGTAATAATACATGTGAATGATTGAGCTCATTAGTGGCCGGACTGGCCCTCCTAATTTGGTCTAAAAAAAGTCAATGATGATCATTGTGAAGGGGTGTCCAGCCCATATCAATAACATACCAAACTACAAGCTAATGTGAGGTTCAGAAATTAGTTTTAAAAATCAAGTCTTCATGTTATAGTAGGCCTACCTTACATGAACCTGTTTGAAACCTTAATGACCCCATGATGTGATTATTTATATCTTACAACCTGTAACAACTATATTTAGATGTTCATACATATCTACATTTATGTATAAATACATGTGTAGCAGTTAGACAAACATAATTAATAGATTAACTCATTATTACCTCTTTTACATGTAGGCTACTAAAAAATAAAAATTAAGTTTACTGAGCCCCCTTATTGTTTTAATGAATGAATCAGAAAAAATTATTTATGCTTAAAGTTATATACTTTTGTGTCTCAAACGGATAGACTAGGTTATTCATTAATTTGCCTAATAGTTGTTAAAATGCTACAATAACATTTGCAATTCGTTTTTAATCTGCCATGTACGGTATCAATGTCTCTCAGCCACCGTAGTGTCGTGTCAGGTGGGCGTGTCGTCTACTTGCTGTATCTAGACCATATTGAAAAGTGGTGAATGCATTACGAGTATCTTAGATGATAAGCAGAGTTGTGCAGCTCTATTTGTTGACCTGTCCAAAGCGTTTGATACCGTCGATCATCGCATCTTAAAGCAGAGGCTACTCAGTATCGGCATGTCCAGCCATGCAGTGGGTGGTTTGTGAACTACCTCTCTGAAAGGTCCCAATGTGTTCACTTTGATGGGCTGTCTTCTGAGTGGTTAAACATCACTAATGGTGTTCCTCAAGGTTCTGTTTTAGGTCCACTTTTATTCTCCATATCAACAGTTTAGGTGAAAATGTGGATGAAGCTACTTTACATTTCTATGCGGACGATACCGTGATGTACTGTGCAGGTCCCTCCATTCAGGAGGCTGGTGTTAAATTACAGGCTGTTTTTAACATTATTCAGACTCAGCTCTAATAATAATAATTCCTTACATTTATTATAGCGCTTTTTCAATGACTCAAAGCGCTTTACATATACACACATTACACATATATTATACATGCAATGGTCAGATACTGTGGACAATACCCACAGGAGCAAGTTCAGGTGAAGTGTCTTGCCAAAGGGCCCCACCGGCTTTACAGACGCAGCAGCGGCGGGTTTCTCCCCTTGATCTGATGATCATTGCACAGCGCACTGCGCCACACCGTCCATCTTCACGCCTCGAGGTCATCGAGGCGCTTTTACAAGTACACATTGGTATCATACATGTACTGTGGACAATACCCACAGGAGCAAATCCGGGGGAAGTGTCTTGCCCAAGGACACAACGGCCTGACGCAGTGGCGGCAGGAGCGGGTTTCGAACTGGAGTTCCCCAACACTCCCCTTGATCTGATGATCGTATGCACAGACCACTGCGCCACCCGTACCCTCTCTGAACTTGAGCTTCTTTTAAATGTTGATAAAACCAAGGTAATGCTCTTTTCTAAAGCTAAAAAGACACCAGAGCCTGTTTTAGATATTGTTTATATGCAAGGACAAGTACTCAAAGTGGTTGCCTGTTACAAATACCTTGGTATCTGGCTTGATGATTGTCTCTCTTTTAAACTTCATGTCAATAACCTGCTTAAAAAGCTGAGGGTTAGGCTAGGTTTCTTCTACAGGAACAAGTCCTGTTTCTCTCTTGAGGCCAGGAAAAGGCTCTGTGACCTTTGACCTGTGCTGGACTCTGGTGATCTGATGTATATGAATGCACCTGCCCATTGCCTGGTCAAGTTAGATGCTGCGTATCACAGCGCACTGAGATGTGTTACTAACTGTAAAGCACTTACTCATCACTGTACCCTGTATGCAAGGGCTGGTCTGCCTTCACTAACTGTACGGAGGCTCAGTCACTGGTACACGTTTATCTATAAAGCTTTGTTGGGTAAACTACCAACTTATATCTGCTCTCTGATCTCACAGAGAGTGGCAAGCAGCTATTGCCTGAGATCTCAGGATGTGTTTTTATTACATGAACCAAGTGCTAGGACTGTTTTAGGCACTAAAGCTTTTATGTGTGCTGCTCCTCTAGCTTGGAACACTCAGCCATTTTTTTTAGAAACTGAGCATTTTGGTTCCCTTGCATCATTTTAAAGCTCGGATAGATGAAATGTTATTTGATACCTGTCATTGTGAATAGGTTGCTAATTTATACCCCTGTAATTATGTTGTATTGATGTCCTTTTTGTTTTCTGTTGTTTTTAGCTGCTGAGTTACACGTGACGTGTGACTCAGCAGCTCTGAGAGGAGCAGCACCAGGAGGCTGTAACGTGTGACTCAGCAGCTCTGAGAGGAGCAGCACCAGGAGGCTGTGACGTGTGACTCAGCAGCTCTGAGAGGAGCAGCACCAGGAGGCTGTGACGTGTGATTCAGCAGCTCTGAGAGGAGCAGCACCAGGAGGCTGTGATGTGTGACTCAGCAGCTCTGAGAGGAGCAGCACCAGGAGGCCGTGATGTGTGACTCAGCAGCTCTGAGAGGAGCAGCACCAGGAGGCTGTGACATGTGATTCAGCAGCTCTGAGAGGAGCAGCACCAGGAGGCCGTGACGTGTGATTCAGCAGCTCTGAGAGGAGCAGCACCAGGAGGCCGTGATGTGTGACTCAGCAGCTCTGAGAGGAGCAGCACCAGGAGGCCGTGAGGTGTGACTCAGCAGCTCTGAGAGGAGCAGCACCAGGAGGCTGTGACATGTGACTCAGCAGCTCTGAGAGGAGCAGCACCAGGAGGCCGTGACGTGTGACTCAGCAGCTCTGAGAGGAGCAGCACCAGGAGGCCGTGACGTGTGACTCAGCAGCTCTGAGAGGAGCAGCACCAGGAGGCCGTGACGTGTGACTCAGCAGCTCTGAGAGGAGCAGCACCAGGAGGCCGTGACGTGTGACTCAGCAGCTCTGAGAGGAGCAGCACCAGGAGGCCGTGAGTGTGACTCAGCAGCTCTGAGAGGAGCAGCACCAGGAGGCTGTGACGTGTGACTCAGCAGCTCTGAGAGGAGCAGCACCAGGAGGCCGTGACGTGTGACTCAGCAGCTCTGAGAGGAGCAGCACCAGGAGGCTGTGACGTGTGACTCAGCAGCTCTGAGAGGAGCAGCACCAGGAGGTGCTATTTTAACATTTCAAATGATTTCGATACTTCCGATATTTAAATATATGTTATTGTATATTGCACTTTGTTCCCTTTCCCATGTCTGTTGCTGTTGATTGTGTGCACCTGGTGCCCTGTGTTGTCTCCTCCCCCTCACCTGTGTCTGGTTGGGTTAATTAGTGTTGGTATTTAGGCTCTGTGTTTCCTGTAAGGTGGTGTGTGAGATCCTTGTGGCTGGTGACTGTGCTCACGTGAACAGCGAGATTGAGGCTGTGTCCGTGCCGTGAGTAATAAATGCCCACACCGGGTTGTATTTGGGACGTTCTGCCTCCTTGCTTGGTCGGGCCGCTCAACGGTCAGCTTCACAGAATGAATAACCTTTATTTAGGTTTCATTTTGTTTAAGTTTGATTCGTTGTAATTTAAATTAAACAAATATGAAGTATTTTTTTAATCCGGAAATAAAAAAATCTGGAAAATCATCAGATTATTAAAACTTTAATCGCTTTGGATATATGTATCATCATTGTTTGTTAAAAATAAGAAATACATATTGTCAAATTTCGGCTTTTTTAAATATTTTGCCTTTTTTTTGTTAGAATTCTGACTTTTCTTCAAATTTTTTATTTTTTTCTCAGCCTACATATTTTTTTGTACAGAATATATATATATATATATATATATATATATATATATTTTGTTTCATCATTTTTATTGTTTATCTTTATTTGTATTATTAAAACATTTGATTATTTTGTAATTCTCGTCAAATGCTGCCGTGACTAAATAATTTCCCAATTTAGGATCAATAAAGTATCTCTGTCTATTTGTTTATTTTATTTATCCTATTTGATATGTTTTCTTTTTTGAATTATGTATCTATTCATTAGGAAATCCTCACATGAACAGCCATTTTAAAGTTAACTCCCCATTTATCTATTTACATAAAAAATAAAAACTTGAAATGAATTAAAAGCATTACATGTTCCATCCATCTTCTCCCGCTTATCCGTGGTCGGGTCGCGGGGGTAGCAGTTCCAGCAGAGAGCCCCAAACTTTCTTTTCCCTGGCGACATCACATGTTCCTTTGTTTATAAATACTTTTCTATGGCAACTCACCACAAGATGGCAGAAGCGGAACCTTTGTTTACCTTGCTTTCCACTCGGACCACATTAGATGTGAGACTCGGTAAAATGGCGGTGAACATCATGTTGGTTCCTTCGGTGGATTATAATCCGTCTAAATCTGAGATGTTGAGGGCGGTAGTCGCGGATAAACTGACCTCCGCGTCGCAGGAGATTTTAGTGGTGGTGCAGCGGACTGTGGCCGGGTTTGAGGACGAGATTTCGGCCTTGAGGAGCGAGATCACCCGGCAGAGGCACCAGCTGGAGCTCCTGCAGCCGAGAATCACTCTCTGCAGGCCGGGTAAAGTGCACCAAAGTCCCGCTAACATCTGATGATTTAACACCAAGGGTTTCTGCTTCTTCTCTCATTGTTTGTTATCTTCTTATGTTATGGATTCATAGGCTTTATGTTCACATGCAATCTGTTATCGTTTACTTGGTTCTAATGTTTCAAGTCTTCATCATCACGTGCTCAGCGGCTGCAGTGTAGGGCTGCGTCTCAGCTCGACTATTTTCATTTCGTCGGTCCTCGGTATCACCGGAAGTTGATTTGTCTGCGCCATCTTGAGTAGCGTCCCATGGCTCTTATTTCTGCCGGAGGAGCGAGGACCGAGGAGCGAGGAGCGATAACCGAGGAACCACCAGACCATCCTCCAGTGAAATCCTCAGACACTCGCCCCGCCCCCTTACTGTGTATCGCTCACTGATTGGACGATGCAGCGCATGCACTGATCTGATGCTTCTTGACATGAGAGCAGTTTCCCAGCGGAGTGAAGAAAACACATGAACCTCACGGGACTCACTCCTCAGTTTATACCGTGTTTTGTTTCAATTTATGTTTCATTTAGTTACAAATATGTGATATATCTGAACAACAAAGTGGGCAACAATCATTTTCTTCATTTATTGGAAACATTTTCATGATGCTTTTTTCGTTTATACATTTTAAGAATGGCGTTTATCTTTTTTGAGGATGAGTTCTTATTTTATTTATTGGGGTCTACAACAGATGATGCAAATGTTTGTCAGTAAATGTGTGCTAACAGAGGAGGGGGTGTTTGTGGAAATAACGGGGACAGAGCTGCTGTCAGACGATCAGCTGTGCAGCGTCACGTGACGCTCTGGAGGAAAGGACGTCCCATTGCTCTTGAAACTAATTTCCCTGCTTCTCGTGGTTCCTTGAAACGACGCAAGTGAGGGACGCAAGGATTCCATTTAATCGACCTGAGATGCAGCCTAGATATGGAGATGACAACCTGAAGTGCTCCTCCATCAGAGCAACATGAATATATATCTGACATAGAACAGATAAAACAGATGTTTGAGATGAGCAAGTTAGTGCAAATAAAATAGAGATAGTGCAAGAAGAGTCTATAGACACGTACATGGATTGATTAGATAAATGATTGATGCAACCAGATGAATGTTCTGGATGTTCTTCAGAGTTCAGGAGTTTAACAGTCTCATGGCCTGTGGGGTGAAAATGAATTATATTAAAACAGGTCCACTATAATTGCTTTATATTTCTCATTTTCTTTACATTTATATTCATTATTTACATGTAATTATAATTATTTTCCAAAGTCAGGAAGTGATTACGTCAAATAATCCTTTTCTTTTTACATTTTTAATTATTTTAATGTGCAGCAGAGTCTAACATCTGATGGTTTAACTTCTTCTTCTCTCACATGCAATCTGTTATTATTATTGTTTACTTGGTTTATTTGAACTTTATTAAAACAGGTGCCCTCTAACATAACTTTAATGTTTGTATTAAATTAAATTGTTTTTATTATATTTAGATATTATTTTCTTTGTATTTATATTAATTATTTACACATGATTTCTTTATGTGATTAAAAAACAACTATTATCATTATTTATTTGTTTTAATGATGTTTTCCAAAGTCAAGAGGTGATCACACAACACATGTTATTTAAATATATATATATATTAATAGTATTGTCTTAGTTTCAGAGGAGGCGGTTCGTGTGGAGGCCGGAGGAGGCGAAGCCCCCAAGGAAGAGGAGCAGACCGGTACACATATACATATATTTTTAAAAACATTATTATTCAATGGTTTTTAACCCTTTAATTTAGTTTATATATAAATCCTTGTATGCATTTATTTATTCTTAATATAACATCACATTTTAGTGATTCAACTTTAAATATTGATATTTTGGAAAATGTTTCCTAAAAATTAATGAATTGTCATAAAAATAAATAATCACATCACATTTCTGTTCATCATACAAAATCTACTAATATGCATATATACATTCAAGTCATTTCAATTAGCCCCCACTCACCCCCAGTTTCCACCGGGACTGTCTGCGCCGCGCTACGGCTGCGCCGCGGCGGTCGTAAGGATCGCGGCCACTCTAGTCAATGGGTGCTATTCCACCACACGCGCCGCGTTACGGCTCAGAAGTGTTACGGCTCAGACGTGTTACGGCTCAGAAGCGTCCCAGAAGCGGCTCGGCGCAGCGCTTCTCTAAAATTAGGATGAATCCTATTTTTGCCGCGGCGCAGCCATAACGTAAGGTCGGGCAGGCTGCCCCCCCTCGCAGGAAGTGGAAAGGTGAGCATCCGGGCCAGGCCCATCCCCCACATATACTCATTTAGCAGACCCCCCTCCTTCATCACAACACCTCCACTACGATACGCACAATGGACGACGAGGTTTTCATCATGGAAGTGGAAAAACACACTTTGATATGATGTAACCGATGCTTACAACAAGGACAACATCAACACCGTAGTCTTTCAAGTAGGAGAATAACTGCCAGCGTTCTCCTCCGGTTTACAGGCACTGTAAATTATATATATATAGAATAATTATGATGATGAATGCATTTGTTTACCACTAAAATACAGCAACACATTTGATTCATGTAGTTTATAACGGGACTATTACAATTATTATTAACTGTGTCTGTAGTCTACAACACAACAAAATAGGACATTTATAACAATAAACACAATTTAAACAGACACAGAAATAAAACATTTAACTACGTATAGCCTACTTTCTTGTAGAAGTACAAATGTCCAGGATGCCCGAATCAAGAACAAAACTGCGAGCCTGCACGCACGACGCTACGCTTCTGAAACGCTTCTGGGACGCGTCCGGTGGGTTATGGCGCGAGAGGAGGTCGGACCAAAACCGCGGCGAAGACGGACCCGGTGGAAACTGGGGGTTCGTTCCCCCCAGAGTTCATGCTGCATCAGTGTCTCTCGTGGTATCACCACTCACTGTCCCTGAGGCAGGAGGCAGGAGAGTATCAGTGCAGTTTGAAATAGAGGTTTGTGTATGGAAAGATGTGAGAAAGATAGTGTGTGTGTGTGAGCAGGGGATAAGGGGTAGGGCATTGGCTCTTTGAGCTCAGTTGGCTTCCAGGAGTAGACAGAGCTTGGGCCTTTGCAGGATGTTAGTCTTACGCAGCGTCCACACGGCGGCGTGCGTTGAAGCATGCCGGTAGGCGTGTCTGAAACTCGACCAACAACCAATCACGTGAATCTCCCGCCCCGGACACACAAGCACGCGGTTTGATTGGCTAGAGCTTGTACTGGCAGATGATTTCATTGGCTGACGCTTCCACCAAAGCTTCAAAAGTTGAACATTGCTCAACTTTTGAAGCGAGCAAAGCGAAGCAACGCTCCCACAATGCAGTTCGGCAAAGCGTGACGTCACCCCATTCAAAGTGAATGAGCAGAAGAGTTGAAGCTTCAACGCACGCCGCCGTGTGGACGGGCCGTTAGTCACACTTCTGACCAGACCTTTGGGTCCAGGCGGGGTTTTAACCCCACGCCCGAGGGGCCGTGAGTTCCTTGGTGCCGTTTCATCGACGATGACCACAATGTCATTGGGTTGAAGATTCCTTCTAGTGTTGACCCACTTTTGCCTTTGCTGCACGAGTGGCAGATGTCACCATGTAGAGGTCATCTTTGCAGAGCATCCACTCGCTCCTTTGAAATACGCTTTAGTTTTGTACCTGAATGTGAATAACTAAATTATATTAATTTATAATATATACAAAAACAATGTTAAATCACATTTTAATTAAAAAGTGTTCAGGTAGAAAATGTATTGGAGATAGTTTTTATTATTTATTTATTTATTTGCATGTAAAATAATGTTGAATTTTCTGTTGTTTTTAGACGTGGAGGACTCGGATCCCTTTGAGGAAGACGAGGATAAACAAGATGAAGAGGAGCCAGTCCTGGATCAGGGGAATCCTCAGACACCAGAACACAGGTTAACATATGATTTCATTTATAACACTTTAAAAGTCTTGAAAGGGAAAAACTTGCATCTGAAGGATTCTTAATTTTGCATTTTTACAGCGACTCAGTGAGGAAGAGGAGGAAGGCGGGGAGGAAGAGGAGTGATTTTGTGAAGCTGCGAGTGTGTCTCCTGCACAACGCCGACACCGACACGATCAGGAAAGGCTGTGAGTCACACCTTAAATATGCAAAATAAAGCATTTTCTAAAAAACTCCATTACTTTTAACTTAAAGGTCCCACGGCCATTTCTCCTGATCATAGCTCCATCGCTGAGGTCGACTAGAATAGATTCACTTTGTTCAATGTTCCAAACTCACATTGGTTTCTCACAGCATCTCTGTGTAGTCTGTGTATTCACTCTCTGTCCTACACGGCTTGTTGGAGCTCCTGCCCCCCCCTCCCTGTGAGCCCACTGTGCTCTGATTGGTCAAGCTGCTGCAGGAGCAGACAGGGCTTCCGTGTCGGCGGTACAGCAAGAACAAGCGAAACTCATCCTGAGCACACAAACACTCACAGCCGAAGTGAAAACAATAAGTGTGGCTTGATATTGAGAAAGAAAAAGGTTTCTAACGCTGTGGGTCTGCGGAGAGCATTCCTCCACCATCCCAACTTAGCAGTCCGAAACACGTTTACCCATTCAAACAGTCGTGGTAGATACCTTGTTTGTTTTAAACATAAATACACAAACAACAATGAATACTTGCAGGTTGTGTACCCGAATCTCCCGCTGGTCCAAACAAAGTAGGAACAGCATCGTTCTTCAGTGCCCTACGCTGAGCATATCCGGCATGAATGCTGAAAGGTTTGGGAAGCTTTTTATTGAAAGGCTGGCAGAGGGTGTGGCCTCTGGGTTAGGGTTAGCGATACCCAGGAAGTAAATGAGAAATCTCCAAGGAGGCGTTCTGGGGCAGCACAGACAGGTCTTTTCTGCGTTAGAGTTTTACTCCCTACAGGGTGCACTTTGAGGGTTTGTGACTCTGCAGACCGTTCACATGCAGAGAAACCTTCAGAACACAAGGGGACGGGTAAGAACCAGAAAAGCATGACATGGGACCTTTAAGAATTCAAATCCATTTAACTTTCAATTAATGTTAATTGCATTTTTTACATATAACTCCATTTAATGTCCTGATCCTTTAAACTGTGGGTTTTCTCCGGAAGTTTTTCCTTGTACGATGTGAGGGTCTAAGGACAGAGGGTCAAAGGACAGAGGGTCTAAGGATAGAGGGTCTAAGGACAGAGGGTCTAAGGACAGAGGGTGTTGTATTGTCATACTGATATTCTGTACACACTGTGAAGTCCACTGAGACAAATGTAACATTAGTGATATTGGGCTATAAATAAACATTGATTGATGAATTCAGTGTTTAAAAAATCAACTATCTTTTGCCAAAAACCTCCACAGGTTTTAAAATGAATCAATTCTAAAAATTAAAATAAATGATTTCAAGTTATTTAATTTTGTGTTATTTAATTAATTTAAAAGTAATTAAAGACAATTGATTAAAATAAATCTAAACAATAGAAATGTTAAAAAAACGTTATATACACAGGGGTGCACATAACTGGTACGCATGCGCGTCACATCTGAATTGCGTAACGTCCCTTGTGTCACTACGCGCCTTTGCGTTCCTCAAAACATCAAAAGAAAACATATATTTCGTCTACACGTGTTTCTTGTCAACACTCAATGGAGTAAACTACGAGACATGTCAAAAAAAACAAAGACATTAAGCAGCTACGTTGCCGTTTCGCTCCCTGCAAAAACTCTTCTGACTTTCTGTGACTGACTGAACTGGAGCCGGCCGAGCCGCGCAGGACATAACCAACGGACCTGTGAATCTTACAGGAGGCAGAGGCTTAGATCACCGGACGACAGAGTTGGTGCCGTGTGCACAGACAGGGTTAACGTCGGTAGGAACAACAGAATTGTGCCAAAACTCCGCTAACTGGCTGCAGAGGGAGACTCCCCTGAGCACACTCTGTGCCCCGCGCAGCACACTCTGTGCCCCGTGCACACTCTGTGCCCCGCGCACACTCTGTGCCCCGCGCACACTCTGTGCCCCGCGCACACTCTGTGCCCCGCGCACACTCTGTGCCCCGCGCACACACTGTGCCCCGCGCACACACTGTGCCCCGCGCACACTCTGTGCCCCGCGCACACTCTGTGCCCCGCGCACACTCTGTGCCCCGCGCACCCTCTGTGCCCCGCGCACACTCTGTGCCCCGCGCACACTCTGTGCCCCGCGCGCACACTCTGTGCCCCGCGCGCACACTCTGTGCCCCGCGCGCACACTCTGTGCCCCGCGCGCACACTCTGTGCCCCGCGCGCACACTCTGTGCCCCGCGCGCACACTCTGTGCCCCGCGCACACACTCTGTGCCCCGCGCACACACTCTGTGCCCCGCGCACACACTCTGTGCCCCGCGCACACACTCTGTGCCCCGCGCACACTGTGTGCCCCGCGCACACTCTGTGCCCCGCGCACACTCTGTGCCCCGCGCACACTCTGTGCCCCGCGCACACACTGGAGCACTGCGCAACATCAGCTGATCACAACGTTCACGCTCTGTGGTCAAGCTGCTGCAGTTTGATTTACAACAAAGTTCCTCAGGGTGTTATGGAAGAGTTTGAAATGAGACAGAGGTGGAAGAAGTACTCAGATCTTGTGTAGGAATACTGTGTTACAGTAAAAGTCCTGCATTCAAAATGTTACCCAAGTAAAATTAGAAAAGTATTATCAAAATATAGTTAAAGTACCAAAAGTAAAAGTTGTGCAGATTGGTCCATTTCAGAATAATATAAATGATATGTTTTATCATACATATTATTTATATTTATCAAGTCTGATTTAAGACTTGATTATATTTCACATCATTAATCCACATCTGTAAAGCAACTAAAGGTATTAAATACATGTAGTGGAGTAAAAGTACACCATTTACCTCTGAACTGTAGAGTAGAAGTAGCATCAAAGTAAAGTACAAATATCTCAAAATTGTACTTTAGAGTACTTGAAGAAGTGTACTTAGTAACTTCCCACATCTGAAATCAGATATGACTTCAAGTCATGTGATCATTTCTTAGTATTTGATCCTTCAACTTGGCCTCAGGAAATGTAAGGACTTCACAGTTTTGCCAACAAGTTTTGGAGAAAGCAAATCGGAGGCTTAAAAAGAGACAGGGAGGTTTATCTTCATCATCTTCATCATCTAGCATGCAAGAAGTGTGAATAGAGGACAGTGAAGGAGACACTGAGGAGGACCACGCTTCCAAACGCTGTCTCCTGGTACTCATCTGAGTAACTCACTAAAAAAGTTATGTGCACCCCTGAATATTACAATCTAGAACATTTACATTTCGTGAATTTTTTGAACTGAATTCAGTAACAAAATAAAATTCTGAGAAAAAAGGAAAAAAATCTGATAATAAATAAAATTCTGTGAAAAAGTACTTTCTGATTTAAAAACAGAAATCATAATTCTGAAAACAATTAAATTCTGAACAAAATCAGAATTCAGAAAAAGTATTAAATAATAAATGTCAGTGTGAATCTAAATTCATGGATTTTATTTGTTTTTAATTTCCCACCGCCTCAGTGTTGAAGTCAGGGGTGCGGGAGTTGCGTTGCCCCCCCGGTCTGTCGGAGGATGACTTCCTGCTTCTTCTCCGTTCCTCGTTTCCACGGTTACGCCTCCCGGTGGACGCCATGACGGCTGACCAGTCTCGATGTCTGCAGACACTGGAGCTGAAGAGTCTGACGCCCGAAGAAATCCAGAGGAGCGTCGGGGCGGTGGGAAGGGGGAGGTCAGCGCTCTACCTGAGAGAGAGGAGGGTAACAATATTTATTTTTATGTTTTATTTTGTATTATGTTTTTTATTTATATAATTAAGCAATAGCTCACGACAGGCTGTGGTATATGCTCAGTATATCACAGCTAGGGGGTTGAACCCCCTAGCTGTGATATAATGAGCATATACCACGGCCTGTCGTGATATATTGCTTTTATCAAACGGTTACCAAGTGTGGCAATATGAAAGAAAAATACACACTCCAATGTAAATAGTTTTTATTAGTAAATAATGATGTTCAAAATAAAATAGTCCCTCCGTTGCCTTCTGCACAAAACATAGTGCGAGGTGGTTGCTATGCAACAACACTAACATTTTTATAGAGCGCTTTTCTTGAAATTAAAAGACACTTATATTTATTTTGTATTTACTTTATTTCATTTATTTGATTATATTTTTTTTTTTTTTGACACACTGCATTTATTTTCATTTTTAGATATGTTTTTATTTAAATGTCTTCCTTATTTGAATACTTTATTATTATATTTCATTTTTACATTTTATTCAGAGAAAGTCTGAGGATATTCTCCATGTTTTAATTTCATTTTATGAGCAGCTTTGTCTCTTATAATTAAACATTAACAATAAACAATTCTCATATTAAAGAAACTGCCAAATTCGGCAAATAAATGTTTTAATTAATTGATTCTCCACTTGTAAAATGCATATATCAGGTTTTCAAGCACAAATCATGATTTCAAAGTGATTGTTTTTGTTTCCAGTCTGCAGATAACTCTCAGGACTTGGAGCAACTTCCTGTTCCGGGGAGGAAAGACGACGTAACACATGAAACAGGAAGTGATGAAAACAGGCCGAATACAAGGTAATTATTTAATTCAACCTTCTGTTGTATCTTCTAATCGTTAATATCATATATCATTCAAACATGGGTGTAAATTCAACTTTGCATTTTAGTATAAGACTACTTAACCTGTTAAGTCCAGCTTTTTTTCAACGAAACTGTCTCAGCGCTTCTTAACATTTAACTAACTATGAATGTGTCATACCCACTTAACGGGAAGAAACTCAGCTAACTGACGATACGAAAAAATGTTACCAAAACAAAACAGAAGTGTAACGCCGAGACTCTGAATTAGCACTTAGCGAAAAAATGCTAACGCACTTAGCACAGAACTTACGTTAGCGATCTTTTATACTTCATCGGATCTGCACAAACAAGATATCAGATTTAAGCTGAGATTCCACAGATTCTAGAGGTATAAGTACAGTGGCGATTCGTCAGGGCCCTCTAGGCTAAGATATTCTACAAAATAATATGTAAAAACATTAAAAAAAAAAATATATTTAATATCTTGTTTAAATATTTTTTTCATTAGTTTGACCAAAATAACTTGATTTAATTGTATTTAAAATAACATTTCCAAAGAAATAAATCCTTCGAATCTGCCTATTCAGTTTCTGTTGGAATGTGAAGGGTCTCTGTGAGGTGAAGACAGGAGCTGTTGGACGTCCAGCTGTGAATTCACAGAGGGCCAGCTATAGTAACTGAACGAGAGAGTAACGTCAAATGACAGTACAATTGACCAATCATATCTTCCCTCTAAATAGGTGGGTGTTATTATCGTGGACTTTATGACAAGTTCCGCCCGCTGTGAAACTTTTCTTGTTTCCATAGCAACAACAACTTCCTGTCAACAGCGTTAACTCGCCTTCAAAATAAAAGCATGCCAAATTACACTTAAGACATGCAACTGCAACGAAAGTAACAAACACAATGCAATATCCTTTTCAATTTCAAAGAACACAAATAGGGTTATTTACAGGTGTTGTTTTGTGTGGTAGAGGGTCGCTTTCCTTGATGCGTTTTGCACCCAGGGCCGTTGTTTTGATATTCCGCTGAAGTATACGCTGTGACGTAATAACTCAAGGGTGGGGGTCAGAGGGCCTAGGTATAAAAGTCACGGCTCGCCACTGTATAAGTATCATCACCGTGCGATCAAAACTCGCGGCAGTTCAAGCAAACCCAGACAACACACAGCGTAGCTTTACGGAGCCAAAACGGCAAATACGTCTTAGCTTTGCTGTTTTTCTGATGAAAAGTTATGTTTAATGGCATTAAAGAGATAAAAACGCTGCTGAAGGTTAATCCAATGTTTCTGTGTCAATTTGAAATGATTACTGATAATCCATCATCATATTTATGGCAATAAGCCTAATTTTCAGTTTTCAGAGCGTAACATAGCTTTCGGTTTGAGCAAGCTGCATGTGCATCACTCTCACTTCTCAATGGGAAAGTGTAGGTGGATTTAGGAACTTCTATTGGCTCTAACGGTTCAAAAGAGGTCAATCACCCAAATCGACCAATGGGTTCCAGAGATATGGCAAATCCACCCAAATGACCCCAGAAGTGTTTTTTTTCACTTGTTTTGCATCAATCTTGATACAGGGTACTTATTATATGTTGTAGTTTGGATTCCTAAAGCTTTTAGTCTACCTTACCATCATTCAAGGTTAGTTTTCACAATACGGTTTTTTTTTTTTTGGACGGAAACTATAATTTACATTTATTTACTATGTTCAATCTGAATTTACTTTAAAATAAAAACATCTATATTGATTCTGACTTTTCTACATCCAACTCACAGGTTTATCATTGCTTTGAGAAAAAAGATTATTAGTTTAACCCTTTTAGCAGGGAAGATATGGTCATTTGTTCTGGGAATGTCTTGACCTGAAAAACAGGCTCCAGGCTTAACAGGTTAATAAGTAATTTAAGACAACATTTAAGTTAACCATAAACTTAGCCACTTAGAGTGCATCCGGAAAGTATTCATACCCCTTCACTTTTTTCACATTTTGTTATGTTACAGCCTTATTTAAAAATGGATCACATTCATTTTGTTTCTCAATATTCCACACACCCCATAATGACAAAGTGAAAACGTTTTTAAAAATTGTTTTGCAAACATGTTAAACAATAATCAAATGAAATATCACATGTACATAAGTATTCACACCCTTTGCTATGACACTGAAAATTGAGCTCAAGTGCATCCCGTTTCCACTGATCATCCTTGAAATGTTTCTATAACTTGACTGGAGTCCACCTGTGGTCAATTAAATAGATTTGACATGACTTGGAAAGGAACACACCTGTCTATTACCTCATTCACACCAACGGTGTTTCGGGGCCGGTTCGGAGCTGGAGCTTGAAAAGCACCGGGTTTTCCTGTTCACACCGCAGCGGAGCAGCCTCTTAGCTCCGGAATCCGGTTCGTTTCGAGCACCAAAAAATTGTCCGGCCAGAGCAAAAGCACCCCATACGTCACGCTTACGTCGAGGCGGGGGCAGGGGCGGGATCAACTCCTGAACAACAACAAAAAGCCGGCGTTGTATCCAGTTTGTACACAACGATGGAGAAACTTAACAAGCAGCAGTGGTCCACTGAAGAGACCAGCTACCTACTGGGAATCTGGTCTTCCGAAGAGGTACAGAGGAAGCTGGAGCACAATCGGCCATTGTTGTTGTTGTCGGTGTGAGCTGTGAGGGGTTTCCGCGCGGTTTGGCTTTATGAAGCAGGCACGCAAACGGTTACGTCATGACGCAAACGATGACGCAATGACGCAGCACCAGATGGACTCTGGGAGGTGTGAAAAGAGCCGGAGCTGAACCGGTTCTGAACCTGAAAAGCTCTAGCACGGAGCTTGAACCGGAGTTGCGTTGGTGTGAATGAGGTATGAATAAGGTCCCACAGTTGACAGTGCACATTAGAGCACAAACCAAGTCATGAGGTCCAAGGAATTGTCTGTAGACCTCAGAGACAGGATTGTATCAAGGCACAGATCTGGGGAAGGGTACAGAAAAATGAATGCTAAGCATCATGTCTGGAGGAAACCAGGCACCGCTCATCACCTGGGGCCGCATGTATAACGCCGTGCGTAGGATTCACGTGGGAAGGTTGCTTATGTAGTAGAAATCCAAATAATAGGTCCATACATTTTCTGATTCACCGAACATTGCGTACCGGCAAGGAAAGTGCGTACAGCACTTCCTACGCCGGTTTCCCTTTATAATCACAATCGACTCGAAATGCGGTGCAGCTTTTGCGGGCTTCACGTAACACCCATATTTGCCTATAAATAGTCAAAGAAACGCCCATTCATTCATTCTGACTGACTGCATGAAGAAGATCGCAGGAAATGACGACAGAACAGCTAAAAAAGACGTCTCACACCGTGTCAGATTCTGGTTATTTTGGGGAGGTGGAGATAAATCATATTGTTTGGTGGATGCAGTTTGAACCAGAGTAGCAGCATGGAGGTCGGATCGTCACCAAAATAAATAAATAAGTGGTCCGAAAAAGGTTAATGACAAAAACAATACACATCCTTCCTCAGGCAGTGTGTTTGTACCGGGGACAGGAGACCCCCCCTTGATGAGAGACTGTAAGAAGTGAACGGGGAATCCCTCCGGAGTGGAGTCATGACGACTGGATCTGAATTATGTTTTTGTATTTGGTGGTTTGTGTTCCAGCTGTCGATCAGCTGTGCGCAGCGTCTCCACTGCAGCCTGTGCGTCTCAACCCCCCCCGCAGCAACCCTATGTCCACCAGTTAAAGGAAATACAACTAATGTGTTGTGTTATATCAGCTGTACAATTTACCACATATGGTGTTCTTAGCTTCCATACCTCCTGTGTTTTACGAGCCACTTATCAAGTCTTAGCAAATGGCATAAAACACGATTAAACCTGATAGTATATAAAACCATGCTCGTATCTACAACCTATAGACATGCAACACGGCGTCAGTTTAGACGTAATTCTGTCCTCCTGCTTACCGCATCATTTATGAGAAAACATTTCATAACATTAACACAACATATTCGAGGTGGTTTTAAATAAAATATCCGTATTTATTTATTTCTCCAGGTGATGTGTTTGTGTGCACTGAGGAGTCTCAAACAGGCGTTTGTTTAATCATTTTGAGATTGGCTTTAATCAATGTTTGAAAATGAATTCTTCATATGATAAATGAGAGGTAACGTTTTATTTTTGGTATTATTTCCACATATTTCTCTCCATTCTTCCTTCTGCCAACGCGGTGTCGCAGTTTCTCGTCTCTCCCGTTGTTGTGCTTAGTGCGTACGCATGGGTTAGAGTTTGCGTGGAGGACCGCACATTTTCCCGTCAAGTTAGTATTTTATAAATCGCAAACATTGTGTAGAAACTGGCGTACTCCATCTTTTGAGCGTATATCCCTTTATAAATGAGGCCCCTGGTCAACACCACTCCTACAGTGAGGCATGGTGGTTTTTCATTGGCAGGAACTGGGAGACTAGTCAGGATCAAGGGAAAGATGAGTGCAACAATGTACAGGGAGATCCTTGATGAAAACCGGCTCCAGAGCGCTCTGGACCTCAGACTGGGGCGAAGGTTCACCTTTCAACAGGACAACGACCCTAAGCACACAGCCAAGATAACAAAGGAGTGGCTTCGGGACAAGTCTGTGAATGTCCTTGAGTGGCCCAGCCAGAGTCCAGACTTTACCCCGATTGAACGTCTCTGGAGAGATCTGAAAATGGCTGTGCACCGACGCTCCCCATCCAACCTGATGGAGCTTGAGACGATCTGGAAAGAAGAATGGGAGAAACTGCCCAAAGATAGGTGTGCCAAGCGTGTAGCATCATACTCAAGAAGACTTGAGGCTGTAATGACTGCCAAAGGTGCTTCAACAACGTATTGAGTAAAGGGTGTGAATATGAATGTGATATTTGAGGTTTTTTTTTTAATTCATTTGCAAAAAGTGTTTGAAAACTTTTTTCACTTTGTCATTATGGGGTAATGTGTCTAGAATGTTGAGAAAATAAATACATTTAAACCATTTTGAAATATGGCTGTAACATAACTAGGGATGCTCCGATCGATCGGTCACCGATCGAGATCGGCCGATACTCACTCTCTCCCGATCGATCGGTGCTCTCTAAACATGCCGATAGCGAGAGCTGATCGCATGACGTAAAATACATGACACTTTTCTCTGTGCGCGGCAAAACAAGCTCGCCAACATGGCTTCACCGGTCTGGCATTATGTTAAGGTGTCCGAAAAAGACAGTAAAATAGCGGTATGCAACGTGTGTGAAGCAGAAATCCTGCAGCTCCGCCGGACCGGTGAGCGAAACACACAAGAGTTAGACCTAACACACTTAGCTATTTTATCTACCTCTGGAACAAGCTAAACTAGTCATTATAAATATATGTATTCTTCACTGTCGGGTCACTCATTACTGGATCAGTG